CAGGCGCAGTACCTCGCGGCGTTCCGCGACAACCTGTGTGGAATTCAAATCTTCAACCCGACTTCAATGTGCGCATATGCGACAGTTTCGACGCAAGCTCTTCGGCTGTGCTTCGAGAACTCGACGAGAGCAATCGATTCGTCTTAAAATCAGCCGAATCGACTTCGATTTGATCGAGCTAGAGAATTCTGAAGTTTGGTCAGGACCACCCAAACCAGTGGTTGAATTCCACACAGGCGACAACTCGGACTACGAGGAGGACGACCTCCAGTGCGACCTCGCGTCCTGCAACGTCAGCGTGCTCCACCACTACCGCTACCACCTGTGCCGGAAACAACCAGTGGAACGCCCTGTCCAGCAAAAACTTCAAACCTCTCGAGCTCGGTCACATCGAAGTCGATTCGACTGATTTTTGGACGGACCGTTTTCTCTCGGCGAGTTCTTTTCAGACGATGAAAAAAAGTACGTCGAAACCGTGCAAATACATGTCTATTGAAGTTGCGTTTCATATTTTTGTTTCCTGCCCAGGCTACCACGACCCTCGCTTCTGGGAGGCCCTGGGCTACCTGCTCCTGTCCTTCGCCTTCTACGCGGGCGCGCAGCTGCCCGTGCTCCGCTACCGTACCTGGGCCACGGTGCTCTAGAACAATTCGTTAGCTGTTACCTCGGCGGACTACAGCTATACAGGTGGTCTGTAGACTCGGGCCATGTTATCAAGAGTAGAGCGCTTTCTCTAGTTAGAGGAACATGGGAGTATCTCTACTAGTAGTTAGGCTCCTCCTTTCCCCCCTCGTACTTTATTTCTCCACGGCTTATGCTAAGGGGGATTCTGGGGCTGCACCTGAATCCCTCACTATCGCGACGTCACACTATGGAGATGACACTGCACTCCCCCGTAACGTTGACATCAACGTTCCTTATTACCCTAGTTTGGGGTATTTCTCTCAAAAAAATACTTGGGGTGGTAATTAGCCAGTAATTACTAGTAATTACCCGAGATATATATCAGTTCCCGAGTACCGCGGCATACAGCGCTCCAAGTGGGCCTACCTGAAGAAGAAGGAGGCGCGGCGGATTCGTCCTCGCGACGAGGGCGACGAAGGAGACCAGGCGGGCCCGAGACGGCGTCTCGACCGTGACCTCAACTTCGACGACGAGGACGACTTCGATCGATGAAGGAAAAGGGTTCCATCGCTGACCCGGGACCGGACGCCACCGGCGCGGCAAGTCCGGGGGTCATCGCACCGCGATATTTCGAAAGGCGGCGATACTCGAAGAAAGATACATATCAAACTCC